CACATGTTGGTAGGCACAGTAGGACGCGCATGAGCTTTTCTGTGATCTCGAAACCAGGCGACCCGCCGGCAGATGGCAGAGCAATGCGTTTCAGTCGCAGCTCGCGTGTCCTGGAGACTTTTGTCTCCGACTGTACCCCCAACTAGCCGAACTACATGCCTTGTTGCTTACTTAAATACTTTAATAAAACTACGTCAATCAAGAATTAGGTGCTAAAGTTGAGGCTTGGGCGAGCTGGTACATACTTCGGAATTAAAAACAGCGCTACGTCCGTGTCACTTCTTTGTCTGGTCCTCGTTTTTCCGCGCTGTTTTTAATTCCCAAGAATTAGGGTTTTATTGAGACAACCGGTTTCAAAGTGGGGATGGTTCGGCTGTTTTTACGCATTCCGTCATCATCTTTTGCAATTTAAGCACCCGCGCCTCGACGGGGAACTTTTCGAGAACCACCCAGTTCCCAACTAAAGATGGAATATAAAATGTAGATCCCTCGATCCCATCCAGGTACTGTGCCAAATACTCCAAAATGAATCCTTTTTGAGACAACCGCTTTCAAAGTGGGGAAATGGTTCGGCTGTTTTTACGCAATCGTTCATCTTCCAAAATTTGGGAACCCACGCCTTGCCAGAGAACTTTTTGAGAACATTTCAGACTCCAACTAAAGACGGAATATCGAGCATTACCTGGTACTACGGCAAACACTTTAAAATGAGTTCTTTCTAAGAAAACCGGTCTCAACTTGGGGATGGTTGGGCGGTTCTTGGGCATTTGTCCATCTCTTGAAATGCGGGCACCCGCACTTCGACAGGGAACTTTTTGAGGATGACACAGTTCCCAAATGAAGGCGTATAAAATGTAAGGCCCTCGAGCACGTCCTGGTTCTATAGTAAACACTTCGAAATGAGTTCTTTCTAAAGGGATACTGAACCAAAGAATATAGTGTCCATAATAAGTGGCGCACGTTCTTTCCACGAGCCAGCAGCCGCCGGTGTGCGCGAGCACACGCAACGAAAATTACGTCAAAGACCTCCATTCGCAGTTAAGATGACAGTGAAATGTGTGGGCTTCGACCCAAAGGAGAATAAAGACAGGCTTTTCATCTCTACAAGTGAAAGCTACGTGCTTGTTAGACCAATTAATCGCTTACCTTTTACACCAGACACCACTGTGTAGATGAAAAACTTGTCTTTATTCTCCTTCGGCCCGAAACCCACACATTTCACTGTCCTCTTAACCGCGAATGGAGGTGTTTGACGTCATTTTCGTTGCGTACGCTCGCACACAACGGCGGCTTCTGGCTCGTGGAAAGAACGTGCGCCACTTATTATGGACATTAGATTCCTTGGTTCAGTATCCCTTTAAGAAAACCGGTCTCAAGTGCGGAAAGTTCGGCCGTTTTGACACATTCGTTCATCTTTTGAAAATCTGGCGTTTGAAATCCAGGAACTTTTTGATTTCGACCGAGAGCTTTGCTGGTTAATAAATACAAAATTAAGGACCCTCGACGATACTCCGTTCACCCTCAAGCTGAAACTAGAAGCTCCGCTTTCAGGGCAATCTTTCTGCCCTTGCTAACATACGTGTGAACACGCAGGCACGCGCAAACAAAGCATTGTGGAAGCCAATGAACTCGCCCTGAAGGCGGAGCTTCTAGTATCAGCTTAAGGGTGAACGGGGGTACATAGACTGCTGCTATGGCAAATCATTAAAATGAGTCATCTTTGAGAAAACTTGTTAAGAAGTGGACAAGGTATGACTGTTTTCAAGCATTTGTTCATCATTTTAAGTTTGGGAACCCGCGCCTTTTCCGTGGTCGTTTTGAGATTGACCGAGTTATCAACTAGCGACGTAATGTAAAATTTAGGGCCGGCGACTACTAGCCGGGTGCTATTTAAAAATTATGAACTTCCGCCCTCTTTGAGGAATATGATCAAATTGTGTATTTTAATCAGACTTTCACGTAGTTCAACTACTCTACTCAAGTTACTGTAGTTGAACTACTTTTCTGAGTAGTTTAGTAACTTCCAGTTACATTTTTAGTTCAGCAATTAGTAGTTTGATTTAATTACTTTTTCCGAGTAACTTTACTGAAATTACTGAAATTACAAATTACTTTCGAATTTTAGTGGTTGTTTTGCAAATCAACAAACATTTCTGCACAAAAGAGATAAGATGTTGGAAGATGATCTGATATTTGCAAAGAGGGGAAAGTATGTGGCGTAGAGAGGGGGGGGGGGGAGGGAGGGGGGAAGAAAGTGGTTTGGACACTCCGAAACCCCCCAAAATTTTTACGAGCCCCCCACTGCAACGACACTGCTACGAGGCGTCGGGAGCGAACAGACACGACGCAAGAGAGGCCGAGTAACTGCGGGATTAGCGCCGAAAATGGCGTTTCTTCGTGTCCACAAGCTCAGGGAGACTTGACCCATTTGAAGAAAGGGTTGGCCCCGCTTGTACCCAACGCAGGAACCCTCGCCCACTACAGGAGGTGTACACACTGCATCCTCACTCAAAGGAGGCGACTAAATGCAGCACCCGCTCCGAAGCTCATCTGGTGCTCCCGTAGTTTCTGCTGTACTCGAAGAATCGCGTGCTAAAGGGCAACGCAAAGATGACCTTTTTGCCGTTGCCTTTCCTCCCAAAACCCAGAATATGCAGATCTTCAAAGATTCGAAGATCCTTCGAGAAACCTTAGTAATTCCCCCAACGTTTTTATATTAAGAATAATAAACAAGCAGTGTTGATTGTGTTCTAAGTACATGGTACTTAAAGTACTACTGTTTATGAAACTTGTACTTTGCTTAAAGTACATTTTCTGAGCATTTACGTGCACCTTACTAAAGCATTTTTTCTGGTACTTTCTAAGGAAAGTAAAACTCTCGACTTCAATGTACATTCCCCGAATTCAAAGGAAAAAAATGGCGTATCATCGTGTGAAAACGCGCTCTTTCGAAACGTCGTCTGGTCATTTCTGTGAGTGAAGTAATGGCGGCTATCAGACTGAAACAAATAAGTGCCTTATAAGTTGGTTGGGTCAAATAGCTTGTCAGCGAGAGTAAAACAACTACTCTGCGGCGACTTGACTTTATAGAATATTTGCTGCCCTTTCCGTAAAAAACTTATGTGCCGCCGATTACCCCTGGAGCAATGCATACCAGTTAAATAACACTGTATAGGGAATGAAAGGGCATCATGAAAGATTTTGTTAAAAGTACTTCTACTTTATCTTGAAATATGTTGTATTTATAGTACGTTAATTCAAGTACGTTGCACCCGGTATACTTAGTACTTTACTTGAAGTACATAACCTCTCATTTACTTTGTACTTCACTTGAAACACTCTTTAGATGTACTTTACGCAACACAGGTAACAAGCAAACAGTGCCTAAAAAATCAAGCTCAGGCAGTGCTAAGCCTCAAAGTAGATATGACAGATTCACAGTACATCATTGACCAAAAAAAAAAAGTACAAAACAATTACGGACGCAGAAGCAGAACCAGCTATTAAAACATTTGTGTGAAAAACAAGCCGATCCATATTTGGCTAGCACAATTTCGGTTACGGATCGAAACTTATGTACTTTTTTATAACCATAAGAAACATATAAAAGTAACCTCAAAAGTAATTCAGTACTTTTTACGGTAATTAGTAATTTTCTCAATTACTTTCCATTTGAGTAATTTTTACTCTACTCAAATTACTTTTGAGGTCAATACTCAATAACTTAACTTAATTACTTTTCTGAGTAACCTGTACATGTCTGATTTCAATACGCTCTTCTCCCGAATGTTTTTTTTTGTTGTTGTTTGTGTGCAGGGCATATGGGATAATTAATTTAATGCAAAACATTTAGTACATGATTAAATTCTACTTTTGACATGAGAATGTTAAGTTCACAAGAACAATCATCCTCTCACAAATAGAATACTCGCCGGAGTGCTCCACTCCTTACAATAAAAATCACCTTGGTATGATTACATAGCATTAATAATTTGCGACAATATTTTTAAAATATGTTTTTATAATTTTATATATCTGTGCTGTAAAAGAGCTGTTTATGTTTGGAAGTTTCTGCATGTGAATAGCCGAATGCTGAAAATGATTGCAAACGTCTAAACGAGAGCGAATCCACCTTATTTGGAAAATTGGTCTCAGGAACCAAGAAAACAATTTTGAGGAAAAACAAAATGTGCTAAGCACATTATCGATTCTTCTGGTTTACTGCAGCCGCATTGTTGTATTTTTACATCGTGCTCATTTGAACTTCGCTGTTTCTAAACTTTTGCGCGAGGTGCCTCCGGGATATATTTTTCTACAGATATAATACACGTATTAGACACTAAAAATGTGTCATAATATTGGGGAGGGACTGCATCTAATTTATACACTCATCACGAGTTTTTTGTATCCAAGAATGAACTGTACACGTTGATTAACTTGGATTGGATACTGTCCGTTGTGGCGAATCATCAAGAAGTTTATTTGACTTAGAAACCTGCAGTTTATATGCCATCATTTTGAAACTTCGGCACAAGAATAGTGATATATGATACAATGGAGTACTAGCATGACAAATTGTTCAAAGTGTAACGTTGCGGTGTTATGATCGTATTTACAGTTTAAATGCATGGGCTTGTATGGGAGTGCTGCCGTAACCTGCTAACAGATGGCGCAAGCATATGATGGCACAAATTTCTGGGGATGTCTTATAAGTTATAACTTCTTACATAATTTTATTGTTCTTATGTGTTTTTATAAGGTTCTTGTCTGCTCATATATGATCTTAATTGATCATAGGCGTTTCTTGGACCAAGAAATTTCTTATACATGTAAGATTTTTCACTGGGGACATTGCGTCGTTTGGTGTCGAATTGAAATTTTTATTAGGGCATTTAGCAGAGAAGCACCGAGAGAGGGTGCAAAGCGTTGATGTCCAAGAAAGTTGGGGATGCCACCTTTGCCAATATATTGCTGTGAACTACAACAAGGAAAACACTAGCACTTGCTCAGCGATGCATTTTATTTGCAGTAACAAACAATGCATGGGGCAACGTGCAAATTTATTTCGGTTGACATAAATAAATAAAATACCGAATGTCAATCTGCATAAATCGTACTGCATTTTGGCGTAGGTCTGCAAACGACTCTGCAATATTTTAATTAAAGGCACACTGCATTTTCTTCAATTCTTGTAAAAAACACTGATATACTTGTGCACTCAAGGTGTCTTCGAAAACAGTACTTGTATTATAAAATAGCGTGCAAATAATAAAAGTGCGTCTTAAAACAATGCTAGCTTGAAACTAAGCGCGTGCATGCCATCCAAGATGGAGGGCCTCCTTGTCTTTCACCCGCTTCACGAGCAGTCAGTTCCTTAAGACCCTGTCCTCGTCGCCTGGACGATGTGACCTTTTACCTTCTTCAAAGTCGCGTCACTTCGTTCTTAAGATCCTCGTATGACTTCATGTTCTGAAAAAGAAAGCAGGCGGGTGTTATTTTTCTACTCTGCACTCCTAAAATTATCATAACAGAACGCAGTGTTTCTATAGCCTTCAAAGAGATCGTCACGTTAATTAAAGTTATTGCATCGCCTGGAAATAATAAACGTACGGTCCGCCTTGCCATAACAAATCATATCAGTTTCGTTATTAGTCTTTAGAGACAGTTAATATTAACATAATATTTTACTATAACATTGCATCTGATTAGGTGCACCCTTGAACCAACTTGCATCATGATGCCACCGCCGAAAACCAGAGTCAAGCAGCCGTGATTTCGAGGAAAATTGTGAGTGTGTAATCTTCATTCTTGGGTTTCGAATGTCGTGAACATTTACTATTATTTTTTCGCACATGTGTGTCAGCCTCGAGCCTCTCATTCCAATCTGGTTTCTATATTTAAGTGAAGTGAAACCGGTGACTTACCAACCTGGAATCCAACGCTCTTAATTGACTCAGAAACTGGGAGGACCACGGCAATGGTAAGGTTCAGATGCTACCACAGCACTACTTGAAATTACTCAAATAACCCTTTGAACCTTCCCCACTGTTTATCGTGCAATAAAAATAAATAATTCTGAATACTTTTATCAATCCTTACATCTTTCGAGAAAGCTGACAATGAAAGGTGACTCGACAAGAACCATCGTCGATCGAACTGAAACACTACCACTTCGTCATCTCGCCAGATAATTTCAAGGTAAAAATCGTTTTAATTGGCATGTTAAATATAATCACCACATGTTGTAACTTAGTACGTTAACAAATCGGCGCGTGAATAAAACACACAAAAAAAAATAGGAAGTGCAGCCCAAAATGCGAAATTAGGGAAATTCCAACGTACGTTCAGATCATGTCAGCAAAGATCAATGATGGGAGCGGCCGTAGCAAGCCGGTCTTACCGACCCTTCTGGCAGGGGATGTCGGCAAAGCCAGGCGCAAGCGAAGGACAAGTTGAAAAAAAAAAAGCATGCAGGACGCGTTAAAGCATGCAGCTCCATTCCTCGATGCATTCCGCTACAAGGAACTAAGCCAGGTTATCAGGCACGCTCAAGACAAGCTGAAACCGCTGAAACCATACTACCAACTGTTGGAATCGCCTAGAGAGCCTAGATTTGAGATGCAGAGCAAATCAAATCATAGAGAGATCTCTCGCCATTTAATGGCGGACGGCCTTCTGCGCAGATTCAGCACACATGCGCATGTGTGCGTTGTAAAGTGGTGATGAGGATAGCGGATGGAGAGGAGGAGCAACGCCTTCCTAAATATATACCAAGGCCATCATGCGGAATCTGTGACGTCACCAAAAGAAGGCAAACGCGGGACCGTAGACTGGAAACGAGAGTCGCGTCAGCGTCTGACTAACGCCCGTGCCACACGGGCAACTCGAATGCCATTTACAACGAATGACATTTAAGCGGGCGACCAATCAGCGCGCGACACTCCGGGCGTAGCGCATTCCACGCGCGACAGATTGCGAGCTGATTCGCCGATCACACAAATGTCATTCGTTGTAAATGGAATTCGAGTTGCCCGTGTGGCACGGGTATAAGACGCGTGTTCAGTCAGTGAGATCACGAGATTTAGCAGAATTATACGATGTCGGGAACGCGTCTCGTACTGGTGTGATTACCGCGTCCAGAAGAGTGGTCCCTTGATTTCCACACGACGACATCATAAAAAGGTATAAAAGGAGGGAGAACGAAATAAAGTGGTTAGCTGTGTTTGAGACGTCGTCGTGTTTCTTCCACCCAGCCTCAGGTGGTCTAAAAAATGGTAAACTTACACCAACTCGCCTGCGCCCTAACTGTTTTTTCATAAAAAGGTGTCATGTTGTCGCCGGTCGCGATCCTGGCGGTGTCGCAGCAGCCTGTAGTGGACGCGGCAGACACCTGCTTCGCCGCTGGTCGCACTCCAGCTTAAAAATCTACGGAATAAAGCTTCGGCAGCCGGCAGATTTGAGACGCCATGACGACAACAGCGACACTCGCGTTTCCCGGTGCTGTTTGGCGGAACTTCTACGACCGACCACCAGGAACGGGACGTCAGACAGCATATGACACTCGGACTTTCGTAACGTCATTTGTTGCCAAATCGGCACCGCTTGCGACGCGTGGGCGGAAGGGGACGCTAAACACACCGGTCGGAGAGACGTGTTCCGGGCACTGTACCAAGAACGCCGACGCGGCAGTTGTGTCCAGTATCTGCCCCTTCGTTGGTCTTCTTATGGTGACGCCGAAAGGTCACCACTGCGGCTTCGTTGTCTACGAGGTGTGTGGCGGGTACGCTTACAGACGATTTGACGGATTCACTTCCTCTTCCTTAATCATTACAGAGCGTTTCCACGTGCTCGATGGGGGTCACGTGGTTTATGGGTCGCGTCTGTAGTACGAGCTGCGAGGAGGTGCCGCAAGCGTTGATCGTCTGGAAACGTCTCTGCCTTTCCGCCTGCTTTCCTCCTCGCTATGCGAAAACACGCAGCGCGTGCGTACTTGCGACCAATCTCCGCATAAGCCGTCCGCCATTGAATCTCAAACGCTGCCCATGGCATGAGATGGACCTTCTTTACTATCTAGGCTCTCTAGAATCATCCGCTGATCCGAAACCACCTAGCGGCAGAAACCTGAAGCTGAAAAAGAAGAATTTGGCACGCATGGAATGGCAGCGAGAACTATAATTACAAGGGGGGGGGGGGGCGATAACACGGAACTAGAAAGGAAACGTCAATTTTATAACAGGTGGACAAAAAAAAAACGATCTTCAGCTTGTTATTTCTGCCACTAGATGGATGGCGAGGCATGTTAGCAATGACAAAGCATTTCTAGATGGTCACTTGTCTCTGTGGAGTTCGAGCGAACTACTCAGAAGGGCCGTCTGCGTTTTTCTCTACCGTGTCGTTTTGTTAACTTCTATATCTAAGGTTGCATTCTTTTAGTTGGTTAGATTGTTATATCTGTTTAATGCGCCCCATTTCGTAAGTAATGCCAAAATGCTTTTGTTACGCCAGATTAGTCGGTTAGCAACGCTGTAGTATAGACACGCAGCTCGTTGTTAAAGGGAAAGGGGATTACATCGTCTACATCTCCAAATGCAGGCTAATTTGGGAGAAATCACAATTTCGGAATGATTTGCTTGGGAGATTATTAAAAACAAATTCAGTACCATAATTATATCAAACATAATTAGGGACACGAGCGAGTTATTCTAAAAAGTAGACCTTAGAAGGATGAGACTGTGGAAATCACACAGTCGCTGACAGTGTAAGGCACACAAGGCGAGATCTTATTATTTCTCCGTAGCCTATAGGATAGCGAGAATATCAGAAAATAACACCAAAGAACAAATCTCGAACAAAAAAAGCGAGGACATACTAAATCGCGCTCTGCCTTTCTCAAGCTATCAGAGACTATGCGCTGAGAAAATTAGCGAGGTACAGGCATGCTCGAAAGAAATGGCAACATCATTTCCATTGCTATTGGTTAAACATGAAGTACGGAGAGCAGATCGTCTGCTTCTGGCGCAGGGGTTGCGGTGAAGTCACAACGACGCCGAGTTCTGATTGGCTTTAATTGTACCCACTACATTTTTCAATCAGCCAATAAGAGCTCGGCCGTTCTGACATCAGTGGAGCTCCTGCGCACGAAGCAGGTGGACTTACGCTCCGCATAGCTGGCAGTTCCGGAATGGCGCAGAATATGTTTATTAGAAATAAGAAAAGAGAAAATCAACGGTTTGCATCTTTAGCTTTAGCACAAATGACCGCACGTGCACTCTAAGAAATCCGGTGTGTCTGCTTCCCCGCTAAGCACCTGAGAGAGCCATTTACAGTTGTCTACAAAGCGGGATTAGCAAATAATTTAGATTTTGAAAAAAAAAAAAAAAAACACCAACAAAAAAACGCAACCTGCGCTGTGATGACGTAAGCGTGTGAAACGCCGTGATTAGTGTCGCGGTGCTGACAGTATCCTAGATCTAAACATACCTTCAGCCTCGCCTTTCGTCGATACCAAATCGTTGATAGCCGCGATTTGCTTCCCCAGGCGATTTGCGAGAGAGCAGACGCTCCAGATTTTTTTTAGAGTGGTGCACGATCAAGCAAGATGACTGACGCCAGAAACCCAGCAAGATCGCCATATTAAAGAAAGCATTATTCATAAGCGCACGCCAAGTACTGTTCCCATCTTATCCAATAGCGACTTATCCCCAATTACCTGTACTTCGTTTCAGCTTATGTCCAGGCGCAGCCGACGCTACGAGCTCATGGGAAAAATCAAGCAGCATCAAAAGCACAAGTTACTGGGACTTTTCTCGTTTATGATTTGTTCAACAAAAAGAACAGCATGATTGTGCCTTTTCGACGCTGTCCGATTGGTGCCATTAGCTCGTAGCGTCGGCTGTGTCTGGTCTTTAGGTAGAACGAAGTATAGTTTCAGCAAGTAACCAGTCCGAACCGTCCCATTAATCTTGGTGGAAGAAGAAAGAATAAACCATTAACACTGGGACGACACAACCACATCTTTCAACTAGCAGCAGACGATTAAACGATCACACAGCGAGCAGCCGACTAAACCCAGGAGGGAAAAGGGGGAGAAGGGGAGAGAGGGGGAGATAAAAAACGCGAAGAGCAAGTCAGAGAGGTGAATTTATCTCGGATTTTACAAGTTCAACCTCAGTCTTCGTCAGCAGGAGGGAAGGGTTTGACAGGTTATTGTTTGCTGTCCACCATGACCATAGCAAACAACAACGTGTCAAACCCTTCCCTCCTGCTGACGAAAACTGAGGTTGAATTTCTAAAATCCGAGATAAAACCCACCTCTTTGACTTGCACTTCGCGTTTTTTATCTTTCCTTCACTCCGTTTCTCCCCCTTTCCCTCCTGGGTTTAGCCGGCTGCTCGCTGTGGGAATTTTTAATCGTCTGTTGTTAGTTGAAAGATGTGGTCGTGTTGTCCAAGTGTTGTTGATTCTTTCTTCATCCATCACTTGAACCAACACGCTCTTCCAAGCATACCATTAATCTTATTTTAAGAAACAAAGCCATGCAACAAAAGAAAGCCTGCAAGCCTCTTTGGCCACTTAGCGAACAGCCAGACCGCCCACGTCTCGTGGAAAGAGGGGCGGCTATTCTGGGTCACCTTCCACAGGTCGGCGTCCCACTTGTCGAAGAGTGCCGTGAACGCGTCGGGTTCTTGGTTCTGGTTCACGGTGATGATTGAAGTGTTGTCCAAGTCCCTCTGAGTCGGGTCCGTTTTTACGTACTCCTAGAAGCAAACGTTGTGAAAAATCAGCAATCTCACCAACAAGAGCACTTACTTACAATCAAGCACAGCTAACCCGAGTGTCATGATAGATATATGGTATTTTATTTCGCGTCGCACGTTAAGAACGAACGTCACCTTTAAAACTGGTTCACACAGCACCGTTTTCTAATGTTGCGAAGCTCACTTACGCACATAGACGTAGACTTCGGGAAAGGCGGGGGGGGGGGCAGAGCCCCCCCCCCTCCCCTGGTGAGGTCCGGGGGGAGGGGGGCAGAGCCCCCCCCCCCTCGGGTCCGGGCCATCATTCTTACCGAGACGCTGTTTACGTGCCATGTAACGAGCTTCTATAGTTGTGGCATGTAAACAAAGTAACGCCCACGTTGCTTTTATTGACAAAATACATAGGAAATGGAATTTTAGCGTGCTTTCGTAATCTCCAGTTCTGGCGAAAAGGTAAGGCGCAGCACCCCCCACCCCCACCCCCGGAGAACTTCTCAGCTTGCCCCCCCCCCCCCCCCCCCCCCCCCCCCCGAAAATGGAAAGTTTACGCCGCTGCTTACGCATACGTCGAGGTACGGCCATAAGCCGCCGGCACATCTGTGCTTCGTAGAAAGGATTTCAACCAGTTAAAGAAGTAGCTTGGCTAGCGGAATCTGAAGCGCGGATGTGCCGGGTGACTTGCGGTCGTATCTCGACGTTTGCGTACACGTAAGCTTCGTAATGTAAGAAAACTGTTGTGTGAACGAATGCCTTTGGAACCTAAAAAGTAGTGCCAAACTCTTCTGGTAGCACCAAGCTCCCCGTATGGTGGTCCTTTTGGTTCCTGAAATGAGCAGTTTTCCCTCGACCTTTCCATTCTTGGTGCGCAGATCTAAAATTGCTGGTGAGAGGTTCCTTTATAGAGACGTTTCTCCAATATTGAGATTTTGTTATCCACAGACCGGCGAAACATGCGGACATCTGCGGAACGCCATCCCATACGGCGCAGCGATACTTGAAGGCACTAAAAAAAAAGTCCTTTCTTTAAATACATAAAACAACTTAAGAGAATTGTGATGAGCGGATTACGTACACAGTGAAAATGACGCTTATTTTGGCAAGGAACGTTTTCCCCACGATATGTTGCTTCGTACCGATCTTGGCGCGATTGGCTCAGAATGACCCTTCCGAGGCTTACAAGATTTGAATGAACTGAAATGGCGATTGCCGTGACAGCGGAGACCGTTCAGCCATTCACCTTGCGTGGTTTTGTCGTCTGCATGTTAGTATTTGTTTATGTCCGTATAACAGGCAGGAAAGAATAATGCGACTTTCTCAGGATCCAGTCACTTTAGTGTGAAAAAGCTCTCTTTGCGTAATACACGAAGCGGCTGGCTGGACATTTTTAAGGCTTGTTCACACGTTTGCGACCTCTTAGAACCGGGTGCCTTGAAACCTCTTAATATTTCTTCCAAAGAGAGGACACGCTAGCGCCATCTATTGGGTAGCAGTGTAAACTTGGCGGTCCGACATATTTTCTATTTCTCTCACGCATTATCCTTTCTTTCGTGGTTCGAAAATCTTTTGTCAACGTTATAAAGGAGCCTTTCTTATAGTCTTTACGCACATTTGACCTCGGAATTCCCGCAAAACCTTCGCTCTTGTGAAATGCAGTTCCAGGGTCACCGCATAGAGGGCGCCAGAGTGCCAGTGTGTTCTCTCGTGCTAAGAAATTTTAAGAGGTTTCAAAAGGTCTCATCTCACTCGGTCTTACTCGGTTGCAAGAGTATAAACGGGCCTTAACCCCTTTGCTAAGAGCTGCGCGCCACGAGTGTGTAAATAATCTCACGCAATTATAATAGTTATTCTTTCCAATAACTATCGCGATTACTTTATGCGTGTATAAAATTCCAATTTTACCCTGAATGACAAAGACAAACAATTACATAATTTGCTTTCCGGACTGTATAATTTTTGTTTCGATAAAAGTAATAATTACTCAGACCCCGCATATGTCGTTTGTACGCAATGTAAGAAACTAATTCACTGCCATAAATCACATCTCTCGACCTTTGATCTCTTAAATACGTATAGCCAGTCACGTTATGTAGGCCTGTAAAGAGATCTGTAATAATCATGATGCCACGCGCGATTAGGTATTTATGTAGAAAGACATTTTAACAAGCGAAAATTTTCTTTCATAATTAGCTACGGCTAATATTATATTATATAAAGATCAATGACGGATATTTTACATCGTACGTACGATGTAAAAGCTCACAAAATGGCAACGCAATGTGTGATATTTAACGATAGGTCACAGTAACATTAGGAAGTATTGATAACTGGTTATAGAATGTGGTCCCCGAGTCGATAAAACAAAACTTATTCTCCTCATTGCCAGCAACTTTGAGCTGCGACTCGTCGGATTTAAAAATAAAATCATCTTTTGGATGTAAATGAAAACAATATTTAGTGTATCTTCAGATACTGTCCATAGAAATCATCCGTACCATGGCAACTTCGAGGGATTTGGTTCTCTCCTCTTCGGTCGATCCCTTGCCAATCCAGATGTAGATTTCGTCCCCACTGTCCAGCATCATGACGTCGTCCTGATCCAAGTCCTGCGTAAAACACCAACAACATCACATTCTTCAGTTTATAAAAAAAAAAAAATAATGTCCAAATTTCTTCGTTGAGGAGAAAAATATAAAACAAATAGGATGTCTGTATGTTTATACAACAGAAAATTAGTCAGGCTCAATGGGCCTCTTGTGTGTACGCTGTAGATGGGGAATTTAGCCAGCGCAGCATCATTGCTAGCCGGTTGCGACGAGTAAAAGGAGATCGGTAGTCATTCGCTTTTTTTTAAGGAGAGCAGAGTAATAATTCGAAATAAAACTGGTTTTATACACGAATTGATGACTTTTGACGTCAGGCTAGGCAGTGACACTGGCTGGCAACTGCCCATGGACAGAGGGTTCGCTCTTAGAAAAACGTGTTCGTCTTGCTCACACGCAGTATCCACAGCTCTTGTAGTCAAAAGTTCCCGTTTATAAATATTGAGTTGGTGTGACATTGTTTGCGCAGCGGGAAGTATAGTCATTGAAATATTGCAGCTCATATTTTTGTGCATAGAGAAACCATAAGACCAGTACAGTACCATTGCAAGACGTAGTTATTATTTGGCAAATCTACACCGGTACGCCAAAACTTAGCAGATCGAAGCCAGCAAGAGACAAACAAAAACAGTTCCATTTGTCAAATTAAGCCATGCATGATCACACTGGTAATACGTCATACAAAAGACAGTATCTGTAGATACTGTCTGACGCGTGTTTCTTTCTTGCGCGAGGAACCTGTCATATTGGTCATACAAAAACTGCCTGCAGATATATTCAAAGTATGCGCATGTACATAAAGCCAATATGAATTAAGCGTGCTCGGAGATCTTTCTCTCCTCATGTTAGCAGAGAAAAACGTGTCTTCCGTGTGATGCATGAGCTGCATTGCCACGACTTAGTATAAAGGCGCTTTTAACACGCAGCAAACTAGAGCCGCCATTGTTGGCCTTCTCATGTTTTACCGAGACGTCGAGTCACTGGATCTGGAGTTGATGAACCTACACAAGAACCTGCGTTATAATTACGGTTCCGTGTCTTTCGATAAATAAATTTAACAAAAACCCGTTAAACTCCCACCTGTATTTATCCGATAAGCTCCAAATTTCAGTGTACCAATTAAAACAAAAAAAAGAAGGTATTTTACAATTAGGTTTGGACAGAGCAGAGGGTCAGTGGACTTGAGGAGATGCCTCCCCAGTTTTCTTGCAAATCTCAGACCATTGGCAAAACGCATCTTACCGCTTATCTCGTCAAGGTTCATTGGGACAACAGGTCTTTGGGTCACGACCAAAACCACTGTTCCGGTTTCCAGTTTTGGGCCATACTATTTGGGCTTCTTAGAGGAAGAAGGGGTTGTGTTTTTGTAGCAGTGAAAGCCGTGATCCATGGAGATTTCATTGAACGGGGAAGAGGGGGCGGGCAGTCTGCCCCGCTGAGCCGCGGGGTAGGTTCATGGGTAGGATGGGATGAAAGCGAGCTTCCTAGCAACTGTATTCTGGAGTTTATTGATTTTAAGGTTTGGATGTTTATCGAGGCAAAACTTGTGCGCAACTTTTGCCGTGGGACAAATTTGTATTGCCCATATGGCTTTAACGCCAAATCCAACAAGAAATATTGCTCGCTATTTTCAGTCTAGCAGACGTTTACACCCTGTTATTATGAAAACACACACACGCAGACATCCGCACACACACTGCAAACTTAAGCTCCGAATGACAGTGAATTTGGGAATAAAAAAAATAAACCGCGATAAACTCCGAATTTTCGGCAAAAAAATAAGCTCCGAAAAACACCCTTTGAATTTGGCGAAAAATAATTTCCTAAAACATGGAACCCAACTCATAATCAAGGGCATTGGGAGTACAGACGGGCACGCGGGCTTTACGTCACGGAGCTGCGGCGGCGCTGCGATCGCGCCGGAGCCGGTTGGCGTGGGCAGAAGGGCCCATGTTTTGCATGGGCGTCACAGCATTTCAGCATGCTGCAAAGCTGTATAGCTGTTAATTGCACCGAAAGGTATGGCAAAAGTAGCGGAGTGAGTTTCCAAAAGTTCTCGGCGAACTCTGAAAGGCGCAGAAGGTGTATAATATCTGTGGATCGAAAAGAATGGTCGCCTCGCGCGGACGACCGTTTGTGCGGCAAGCACTTTATTAAAGGCAAGTTCGGTTTCCATTTCAATCTTCGTCCCGAGGCTTGCTTATGTGCAGGGAAAACGTTGTCTGATCGAGACCACCCAGGTTTTGTTCCCTCGGTGTTCGTGCAGAAAGCACCGGCCAAGCAAGCGCTCGTCGGTGGCTCGCTACGCCCGTGCTACCAAGCGGATAGAGATCGGCGGCAGAACGGACAAAGTGTTACTTTTCGTCGTGCCTTGTGGTCATGAGGGTAACAAAAATATGATGCCTTGACTCAAGGGACACTGTGTGTATCTAATCAATTAATAAATACACTTCAACAGACCCACACTCGGCTGATCCTGCCGGCAGCGCGGAAACAGGCTCGAAGTCATTGTAGGCCTCGAGAGACCTGTACGCCTGCACCGTGTCGGTCGTGAACTGACTTGGCGCAAAAACTAAATAAACGACGACGTGAGCCATCGCCGTCGGTGGCAGCAACTTTAGGTCGGAACTCCAGCAGCCCTTGTTTACGGCGTACGGATCGTCGAAGGCAACACCGTCCACGCACAATTTGTCTCGATACCGCTACCGTCTAGGCTCAGGTAGCGAGCTCAAATAGTCGCGCATAACATACGACATACGTTGGCAGGAAATACGACGCAGAAATAAAGCTAGAAGCGTCTCTACATCATCAACAACGAGCACACGGCACACAAAGAAATGGCGAAAGCACGGAGAAACTGGCCGCTTGTGCCCACATAACTTCTGCGCATGCGCGGCTTTGCGGCGATGTCAGTAAACAGAGCCGCGCCGCGGTCGGTATATAGGGAGGCGATAACTTGTTCAGTTACTATAGTAATGAAATGAATCCAATTAAATAACGGAAACAAAAGGCTCGAGGCACACCTAAGCACATTTTAGGAGTTGTTAATGCGAAAGCGTGCATGCCCGCCCTTCCACTCCCTTATTCCAGAAATAAGGGAGTGGAAACGCCCGAGGCAAGTTCTAAGCATGTTTTGCATTATACATATGTCGGCTTCGAATATGTCTGCAGAGAGTTATCGTAGACCAATCATCATACAAGGAAGAATAACACCTCAGACAGTGTCAGCAGAATGTCGTTTGCATGATGTATCAGCAGTGTAATTGCGGTTTAAAAGAACCCACTTACATCAGGAAGTTAGTTAGTTGCACAATCTCCACATTCAACTTCGCGTGTTTTTTGGGGTTTTTTTGTGAGCATTAATCTGCAGGAAGGAATTTGATCCTCGTAGCTGGAGCTGCGCACCTTGAAGACAGTCGGTCAACGTCGGCATGTTTCTTTCTCGGTAAGCGTACACCGACTGTATCGTACCTCTTGAGAGAAGTTGCAGATTTCGCGGACGACGAGTCGTCCCGTGGCGGTGGAGCACTTGAAGAGTCGGGCGTCCAGGAGCGGGTTGTGCTCTTCCACGTGACCCTTCTTGTACTCGCCCTTACCGCCGATGGCCTTCCAGAACTCGTCGGGCTCTTGGCCTTCCTTGATTTCCTTGGCTTGCCTGAAATGACAAAAGCGTCGCTCTTTGAAAGTGAAGCACAGACAACATGACGAACGAGAAGGCACGTACCACAACGGACTGTTTAAGACATGACACGCAAGTAGACACGTCTCTGTACTGTCCGCTATACACAGCGGATGTTCCCGTATAGACATACGGGATGACTAATAAAACGTAATTTTCTTTTCAGTACTACTATCACTCGTTTCAGCTAGTGCTAGCTAGGCATCACTGGCTTTAGAGCGTGGATAAAGCTCCCTGATAATATTCACGCTTCGTGTTTCTTGCAAGTGCCTACAACCATTGCTGTGGGAACACGCAAGAGATGTCCCACAGGCGAGTGCTCCGCCACTCCGCCGACAATGGACTACTTCCAAAAATCCCTGCATGCAACACTGCGCGAGTTGCATTATGGGGCCTCTTTAGCTATGGAGAGGAGTGGTATTGTTTTGATTCCGACTGCCCCGTTGACGAAGTAGTGCATCTGAGCACTGCATGAAGATAAAGTAAGAACTCGCTTGCATCGCACCCATTCATCTTCATGAGAACCACCGTTGAAACAGCTGAAACAGCACGTACATTGAGCTGCCCTAAGGACCTCTCTAGGTTTAGCGAAGAGTAGAGTTCCGCGTCCCATACCGTTCTGGCGACCTGGCTACCACTCCAGAGTTCTGCCTAACCCTACCAGCTCACGTATAATTTAATAAGCCTATTGAGGAAAAGATGGAACATCATGACCGGCCCAGTATGCTCCCAGCATGCTTCTTCTTTCATTTGCCTTCGTAGTCGTGTTTAAACGTGAACCAACTCTAATACGTCGAAAGCCAAAAAAAGAAAAAGTGTTTTAACATTTCATTTGTATTGGTAGGTAACACCTACAGTAATATAAATTTAAGGAAAGTCACAAATTCCGAAGTGCAAACACTGTATTTTGTCATGACGAGATGTCGTAAAGTGAGGTCGGCAAATCGAAACCAAAACTGTGGCCAAAGCTCTCCCAAGGTTGCTTGCATGGCACTACGCCGCTAGGATCGCTTTGATTTGGCAAGAAGTCTTCCCAGTGCCGCTTATTTCAGTGCTGCGACACCACTCGCTTCCAAGGGACGTACAAGCACCGACCTCATGCACTGCCGCATTTGACGCTATTAGAGCCACTAAATAAGCTACGCTTCAGAGTAAAGACACTTCAGCCGCCTTGGTGCTTAAAATTATGGTTGCTCGTTATCTGAAGTTTTATCTGAAATCGCAAAAAAAACGCTTTTCGGTCCTTCAGAAATGTTAAGACAGTTCGCGGCAAGGCAAAATAATATCAACCGAGCTTCCTAACACGGTATCTAAAGCTGGGGAAGTCGCATTTCTGAATTGCGACAATCGACAGCTGCGTCTGCTCTCCACTAAGCATCAAGGTGGCGGTGCCCACGGGCCAAAATAGATCGGGGAACGGAGGGCCGATACTCTAAGCGTAGCCCATGTAGTGGCTCTAAACGCTACCTGAAAAACAAACACAAACACAAAGGGGCTTTAGGTGCGGTCACAGAGTATATAATACAGTACAATGTAAAATTATTACAATGCAAATTAGTACAATGTAAGATGTAAAACACGATGTTGATGTCTGAATATAGCGTCATAGTTACACAACATACCTATCAGGTGACACAAGCTTGGCAACGTTGTGACCCATGGCAACTTCGGAAGGATCTGCGAACTGGAAAGAAAAAGTTGGACAGGAGTTCAGCTGTTTACCTAACTTCAATCAACAAAATGAAATTTCTATAGACGCTTTGCGGCAGCTGTGCATGGACGCCGCCATAACTGACCTTCAGTTTTTGTTTCCTCTTATTCCGTTTATTTCACTCAGACTTGGACGTAGTTCAACTACTCTACTCAAACTACTGTAGTTTAACTACTTTTTCAAGTAACTTGGTAATTTTCAATTACAACTTGATTTGGGTAATTAGTAGTTTAATTTAACTACTTTTTTCAGGTAACTTCTACTCAAATTACTAACTACTTTCGAAATCTAGTGCTAATGTTGCTTATCACGAACGTTTGAGCGCAGAAATGAATAAGACGCCGGCAGATGAAGTGGCATTCCCGAAAAAGGGGTCCCCTTGTTCAGGAAGGCGTCCTTGGGCCAAGGTGGCGACGAGCAGCCAAAGCATAACACCGGCGCGCACGAACGAAGGAAGAGATGCTTTACAAGCCTTGGTCGGGTATTCCTAATCCGGTAATGCACGCAGGTGCCGCGTTTCCAGCTGCAACCGTGAAAGACCGGGACACTCCGAGGGCTGTTGTTGTTTTCGTGTTGTTTGTCTTTAGTGAGGTCTGACTCAAGCGGTAGGTTCCACGGGAGGTGCCACTTGAATGACCTCGCAGCTGGGCGCCTGTCCCAATGGTCGCCTCGTCGTCAGCGTATACGCCTTTCCAAAGCCGGACTCCCCCGCGAAGAAACCCTGGCACGGATAATCCGTTCATGGGAGCACGTTCCCGCTTCCAGCTGCAACTGTACGAGCGACGATGCTTGTTCACGTAATCGTTTGCGCCCTTCCGACATTCCATGCCTGGGAGACCTCCTCTTTGTTAAAAACGATTTACTTGTCAGGCGTGCGCGTCAGAATATTGTAGTCGCCTGCGAAGATCGCGAGTTACCCTTGGGAGATCCTTTTGTTGGACGCGGCGTCAGCGGAGAAGCATTCTTCGATTCATCTTCTGTTAAACCAAAACAATTTTTGTTTTCAATAGCGTAGCACTATAGCACTACAACGAGACGCGCAGTCGTCCGGATGATCTCATTGTCGTGGCGCGAGACTTGAACCCTTAACGGGTTCAAGTCTCGCGTTCAAAGTTCAAAAAGAAACAAACAAGTTCAAAAAGAAAAAAAAGGAGGAAAGTTCGTTATAAAAGACCCTCTACCCGAGGCAACCTCACATGTTTCGTCATTGACACCTAAGATGCCGTTACTCGCTTACCTGACTCTGCACAGCCTGTTTCTCAAATTCAATGGTGTCGTTCCATTCAGCGCGTCGGTGGAACGTCTGTTTAGCTTGGCTGGGGACGTCTTCAGAAGGAAAAGGGGAAACTTTCCTATCAAAAACTATGAAAGTCAATTGCTTCTGCGAGCGCATAAACTATTTTGGTGAAAACGCAAGCCATAAAAAGACTGCTTTTATTTTTGGCTCGCAGGGTTTTTCATTGATCAAAACTGCTGTTCATTTTGCTACCACAAAAATATAAAAAAGTAACTTCGAAAGTAACTTCAAAGGAACTCGCTACTTTTTGCAGTAGTTAGTAGTTTACTCAATTACTATTACAAATGCGTAATTTCTACTCTACTCCAATTACTTTTGGCGTCGATACTCAGTAACTTAACTTACCTTTTTTGAGTAATTTGTACATGTCTGATTTCACTTCATCATTACCATAGCAGGCCAGGTTATTGCCATATTAGATTCAACTGTGTCCTTTTCTAAAGCATCGGTCTTTGTGGAGGATAGTCAACTACCGTTTCAGTTGCCCAGCATCTCGGTAAGACAATAGAAGGTCAGCAATGACGGCTGTAGTTTGGCGCGTGTGTAAAGCGTCTACAGGGGTATAAAACCGAGTGACAGCGTTCACGCCGGTTAGAAGGAAGTGGAGTGACACCCTTGGCTACACGGGCACGCTTGACTGCAGTTACGCTAAGCCACAGTTACCACACTATACTTCTTGACAACGTTCTTTGTCTATGCAGTCAAAGCTATGAGCGCACCGGCGCGTGCTCATCTTGAGAGTCCATCAAAGCAGTGCAGGCACACTCTTCACCTTTTCTAAAATAGCTGTCTGAGAGTATAGACCTTTTCATTTGAGTAGTTACCTGATCGCTGGACAAAGAGCGCTGGCACACGCGGCGCCGTAAGGTATCTCCAACTTAGTTGGTTTCGGTTTCAGCGCGCTCGCGGCTCTGTTGGTGTGTTATGTCGTTTTCCCTTTTACTTTTGTGATATAAATTTATCCCTTGCGGTACAGAACCAATGATACAGTAATAATGGACCACCATGAGAACTGCGACGTCGTTACGAGCCTGTATTGTTGACGTTTTCACAAACACCTTCATCTGATCATGTTCCTTGTTCGTCCAGGTTCGGCGGCGAAACGACTGAAATGATGCCGTGGGAGGGCTACGATGTCTACGGCCGTACTGTACGTACCGGCTGATACTAGTTTCCATAAAAATAAACTAATAAAGAGACTAATGCACGGAGGCAATGAAAAAGCAGGTCGACGGCCTGACGATGTGCTTAATTGCACAGAAAAGATAAACTCGCAAGTGTAGTGCTCACTGTTCAATTTTTGAGGACACCAACGTTTTCTGAAAATTGCCGACCGGGAACGATTGCCGACCGATAACAAGATATAATAAGTTACACCGAAGCAATGGGAAATCTGCGACAATTCTGGGTATGAGTGAAACTCCAGCGACAATTAGAACTTCGACAAAAATGTTCACCCACTTCACCGAGCCAGAGGAACGTTGATTTCGGTGTCTCCAGTACGAAGACATCTTCTGAATTGAGGGACGCCGCGACCTCATCGACCTGAAAATAAATAATAGGTGGACATTTAGGTACGTAATCATACAATTAAGACAGATGCACATGCAGAGTTTGATAGACAAGGAGACGGACAAATGGGCAGCGAGACAAATAGACAGGTTCGCAGGCAGGCACACAAACAGACAGCAACAGACAGAGACGATATCAGGGAGACGGCCAGAAGGGAACAAGGACATACAGAAAAACAAACAGGCAGTAGCAGACATGGGCAGACAAGAAGAAAGAGGGACTACTTCGCCACAAAGAGACAAACATGCATTGAAGAAGAGACAGAAACACAAAAAATACAGGCAAAAAGACAGCAAAACGAACAGGCAACAAAAGAGAAAAATCTGAGGACACAAACAGCCGCACAAGAGTGGACAAAAACATAAAAATAAAACGACATTAGCTCGCAAGAGCGAACGATAAGAGATAGGGACGATCTCTTCTTTCATGTCTTTTTCGTCCGTGCCCCTTTGAGATTGTCCACTTCTCCTGTGGTTCGTCCTTGTCTACAACCGAGCCACAAGTACCATACCTTCCCATTGGAAAGATGGCATTCGTCACGCCGCGGTCGTATTGCTAATATTTATTCATTCGTTCATTTAACATCATTTCAAGTCGGCTGATCGGTAAGCTTGGCAAGGGTGAACACCTTGTAAAAGCGTCAGACGATTACGGCATTGGAAATCTAACTCTTTAATAACACCCGAGTGCTGACGCTCGCCAGAGCGTCAGCACTTGGCTTGGTGCTCACGTTCTGAGCTAAGAAGAGCGGGGGCCATTACACATAATTTTGCAGACTGTACAATTAAACATGCCAAAAAGTAATTAAATCATAAGTACAAACAACAACTACGCACAATGGGAATGACCCGTCTACTAATATAAATTACAAGATGTAAAGGAAATACTTTTGTCATACAAAAACTCTCTGCAGGCATGTTCCAAACATACATATATATGAAGCAAACGTGTCATTATATAATTCTATCATTATATCTGCAGCGAACATATTTAATTTTGTATTATGTGTCGGGAGTGTGACTGCATCGGACGCACCTGCACGGCGCGGACGTCGACGTCCGAGGTTCCCATGACGTGGAACATGCGCGTCCCGTCCACGTCGTATGTGTCGTGGTCCCGAAGGTTCTTGAAGCCGCTGGCGTGTCCGCCGCTGAAGATGATCATCCGGCCCTTGAACATGCGCAGGAAGTGCTCGGGCTCGTGGCCTTGCACCACGCGCACCTGCAAAACGCAAGTCAACTCAATACATGGCTTGCCCATTGTATCAGCTGTATCACACCACGTCACATCAGCTGGCCCATTGTATCAGCGTTGCTGCTGAAATCGTATCATCTACAGCCCACATTTCGCAGCTCCGAATTTGTTTTCGTCGACAAAACAAATAGAAGTGACCCCCAGCTCAGTTGGAAGATGTTGCGTGCAAGCCACGCATGGAACTTGCATAAAACAGCAAAACTTTGTCGCACCCCTCTAGCCATACGTGACACAGTCCCCATTTCTAGAGCACGTCTTTGGATTGGTATGTATGTTGTGCAATAGTTTATTTATAACGTATTCCGCAACTTATGACGAAAATGTCAATGATTGTCTTTTTGGTCGCATGACTTATTCTTACAGCCATTAAGAGTTAGGCGCCCTCCCCCTCACGAGGGAGCCCTGCTGCGGTGAGACCAACACAAGCAAGAAAGATTCGTTTAGGGTTTCCATACAAGGCTATTGCTTTAAAACAGACCTGGACGGCGTGCCCGTTCAAGTCGTTGTCCAGCTTGACAGCCCAGATGGCGGATGCAGCCTTCTCGTCTTGACTGCTTTCGTTTCCCTGTTGCACAAAGAGAAACAAACAGAGAAAACAATGTCGAGCACACGGTGACCATGGAATTGTTGGGAAGAACGCGCCTTTCGATTTAGAGAGACAGGACTCGTACCTGCCAGAAATAGATGACGTAACGGTCGCTGTAGCCCTTCTTGTACGTGTACTTGACGATGTAGCTGTCTCCGCCGAAGAAGAAGCCATAGATGGCGGGGTCAACCGGAGCTAACTCGAAGTTCTCGATGCGGAAGATCTGAGTGTGGGTAGATGAAAAGGGTAGAGGTGGTTAGGATTGCGAGCCTTAAAAGACCTTCAATATCTTTGGACGTAGCTAGCGTTCTACTAAAACAATCTAAATGACCCAACTTCACCATTTCTTCACCAATACAAATAATAAATAAAAACACAACGTAAATTTCAATTAGCACTCAAACATCGAGAATGCGTTGCGAAACTGAGGAAGGGGAGGAGTCTGCAGTCGTCGAACGCACTCGAATGCGAAAGTCAAACACCTGATGTCGGCGTTCCGCTTTCTAAAGGCCCGTTCACACTCTTGCGACCGAGTAAGACCGAGAGAGACCAGACCGGTTTTTAAGCTTCTTGCGATCTCTTAGGACCAGCTCCGCTGCAGCGCATCCGGTCCTAAGAAGTAACAAAAGGCTTAAAAACCGGTCTGGTCTCTCTCAGTCCTACTCGGTCGCAAAAGTGTGAACGGCTCTTTGCGAGGTCAACCATTGCAGTGGAGATAAAGGCAGCAAACTTTAGATCTACCCAGTAATCACTCCAATCAGGGGTTCGGGATTTTGATGCTCCCGCGCGCTGTGATCTCCTCTCGCTCAGTTTCTCGGCGCATAGATTGATTCAGACAAGACTTGAACGAGAAGTCGCGGGAAGTGAAACAATGTACGTGACTTCCTTTATTAGATCGTTTCCCTCTCCGTATAGGCTCTCCCCAACTGATACGGCCCTACTGCGCAGGCGCGGCCTTCTGCAGTGTTCTCGATCGTGTAGTTGGTTACTGAGAGCGTCTCGAGACGGCTGAAACGAACTACGGAAAACTCCCTTTTTGACACAGTGCTTAGAGAAAACGGTCCTTTTTTTTTAATTTTTAGCAAATTAAACGATTATGTAGCGATATTATAAGTGAGCGGACTTTAATACACGATACTTTAACCCTTCGTAATTGAACAGAATTTTCGGGCGGGTGTTAGAGGCTGTTGAAGTGAAGAAACCCGGGACTCCAATATCCTCCGTAAAATACCCTTTGCCTAAGATAGAAACTGCAATATTACTGTAACATATATGGTTCGTACAATAATATCTTTGTTTCTTTTTGTCTGTGATACTGGAGAAAAAAAATTATTGAGAGAATTGGGTTCATTTTTTAGTATCTGTTTTGCCAAGAGAGTGAATTTTCTTTTTTACAGAGACGCAAGATTTGATTTGCTTTGTTACAGAGACGCAAGATTTGATTTGCAGAGACGCAAGAGTGTAGATTTGCTGGCTAAAAGCCAACACATCTACACTGCAGCTCAATTATCAATCGTATAACATGCAATCAATCGAATGATTTGTTAGACTCTCAAGATTAACCTCGGTCTTTTTTAGAGCACAGCTCTTAGGCACCCGTTTCCGGCTTGAGCGACGTCGCCGTCGGCGTAACCTTGAGGTCACGGGACCCCCATATGTGGTCACGTGACCCCGGTGACGTCACGTGACCCCCGTGAGGTCACGTGACCACGGTAACGTCACATGACCCCCGTGGGGCCACGTGACCCCCGTGAGGTCACGTGGCCTCGCAGTTACGCCGACGCCGCTCGGAGGGAGGATGAGGAGGTGGGGAGGAGGGAGGAGGGGTGTAACGCTCCCCTCAGTACCCTTCCCTCCTCCTCCTCAAGAGCTGCGCTCTAATTCGGCGTTACCGGGAGTTGTGAGCAGCTTTTTTTTTATTAATAGTTTGACCTCTCTATTCATATACATATATATGACACTTTTTTAGGGACAGAAAGATTAAAAACTCAGCAATCTGCGACCTCAGCAGAAGGTAATTAGAAGTGCCAGTACTTGCCTTCAGCCTTGCAACACTGGCGACATATCAGAAACGGATGCCCTTTGAGATTCCTCAGGTCGCGGTCACAGTGCAAATACATCACACAAAAGACAGTCTGCAGGCATGCTTGAAACATGCATATGCAGGAAGCAAACGTGCTCCAAACTGTCCTCTCATCATGTTTGAAGCAAACACCGTGTTTCTTTGTGTTTTTCTTTTATGATTGCGGCTTTAAGGGACGTGTTGTGAGTGGCGGTTTTGTCAGAGTAATTCACTTAAATGTTTAATCAATACTTTCCGTTCATCATATCATACTTTTAGGAGCTCAGCAGCACGGTCACAACCCGATCGCCACTTATAATGCCACAAAATTACTTCTTTTTTTTTTTTTTCTTTTTCACATGTAACAGCGAGTGAGGAGAAACTGACAGGGAAGCTTACCTCGAGCTTTCCGGAGCCGTCGTCGGGCATGAAGCCGATAGATCGGCCGAGGTTCTTCTCCAGAAGGCGACGCTTCTCCCGATGGAGGTCGCTCACCCTGAATGTCTTGTCCATTTCTACAGCACCAAAAGTGAACAGACTCGTGTTTAGGAAACAGGAAACTTGCGCTGCTACACTCTAAAAGATCAACAGCCTGTACGTTAACTCAAAGCACTCGAGAAAGCCAATCGCTGCTATCTGCCTATAGGCCTTCTTTCTTTCGGACGGGAAGTGCTGTAGCGTCCCCGAGACGCGACCACAAACGAGGCGCCTTCGCTGCGGCTTCCTAGCGTCTCATCATGCACGATCCACGGGCGTGAACTGGCGTCTGTAAGCATCCCTCAGCGTCTGTCCACGGGCACAGATAGTCGGAATCGGAGTGTTTGAAAAGACACAGCGCGATGCACAACGGGAACGCGACCTAAAAATATCCCACTTTGCTGGCCAGGAGCACTGCTCAAAACCTGTGAGCTACAGGTCTAAGCAGCTCGTCGAAAGACGAGGCTCAAAACGTGCTTCGACATAAAAACACAGTCTTCGGTGCGGCACTGAGCACGACGCTTCACCACGATCAGTGTCACAGCGCAGCTCAGGGTTTCCTCAGATCTGAACATATGTTCAGCCTTTTTGTTCGCCGAGCTCTCTCTGTACAGGGTGATTCAAGGAGACCCCAGGCTCTTCAAATCAACCGCGAAATTCGGTTTCTTAACCTATCGCGCTACGACTTTGTGCAGCGTTGCCCATAGATGGTGCATTTTTTTTTTTGTGAAATTCGCAAAGAGCGAACTTACCTGAGGAAAAGTAAAGAAAGAAAAAGGCTTAGCTCCTATGGAAACGCAGCGACGCCACCGGTCTTCAAACAACACGGCAACGTTTCGCACGGGAGACAAGAGAGGGCGCAAGTGGTCGCGACGCCATGCCGCCTACGAACGAGCATACGACGCCGAGAGCCGGCGTCTTTAGCAGACAAGCAACTGCGGTTCCTTGTTGCTACCGCGCCTGTTTTTGTTTCTGCGACTGTCACCCTCCCTGCCTGCGGAACGCGTGCCGCTTTTGAGTCGAAAAGATTGTCTGCTAAAAACGCCGGCACTCGGCGCCGTATGCTCGTCTGTTGGCGGTGTTTCGTTGCGCCATCTCTTGTCTCCCGTGCGAAACGGCGCCGTGTTGTTTGAAGACCGGTGGCGTCGCTGCGTTTCCATGGGAGCTAAGCCTTTCTCTTTCTTTACTTTTTTCTCAGGTAAGTTCGCTCTTTGCAAATTTTACAAAAAAAGAATGCACCATCTGTGGGCAACCGGGCTAACAGAGAAGAATGGAAGCCCCCTGTCCCCCGCTCCTGTACCCTAAACTCTTTCACCGCAGCATTTCTTAATGCAAAAAAGTGGAATAAACGTTCCTACCTACCTACCTACCTACACTCTCAAGAAAAAGGGGTGTAAAAGGGTGTATCCTTACACTCTTTGTCCCATATAATACAGCCCAAAACTTCATTTCGACGTACTGAGCCCTATAGTCGAACAGACGACCCCCAAATTTTACAAGGGGCTTGATAACGGTGCGATAGAACTTTTTAAATAGCTAAAGTACGTATCAAAGACCACATAAAGAGAACACCGAGTTTTTACAGTAGAGTCAAGAAAACCACGATTTTTTTTTTGTAGTCAGTAAAATGTACATTAGCTATTTTAATAAGTTGTACCACACGGCTATCAAGCCCCTCGTAAAATTTTGGGCCGTCTTTTCAAATGTAGGGCGCTGTACGTCGAATTGAAGTTTTGGGGTGTATTTTATGGGACAAAGGGTGTAACAATACACACTTTTTTTCTTGAGAGTAGCGCGATAGGTTAAGAAACCGAATTTCGCGGTCGATTTAAAGAGCCTGGCGTCTCCTTGAATCACCCTGTAGATCGCAGCGATTGGCTTTCCCAGCTCTCCTGCGGGAAAGTAGATGCTCCAGACTTCCTATATACACCAGCAAATTGTTTACAAAGAAGCGCACTTTGCCCTCCCCCCCCCCCCCCCCCCAATCCCCCCAAGGTGTGGGCAACGCATCTACGCATGCGCAGAGCAGACGTAGCCTGACTCCAGTGAGTTTAGTTGGCCTATAACTGGCAGCCTAAGCAACGCATGGTGTCGCGAGTCCCGAGCAACTCATCGATCTCCAGTCAATGAGATTGCCGCCTCAGCCGATAAGAACAGCGAAGAACTATAGTGCATGGCCTGCACTGACGTCCCACTGGCCGCCATTGTGGTAATCTTGCTGCTGAGCGCGTACCTTCTGCAGCGTGCATTTCACACCATCGAAGTTGTTTCTCTCGGCGAGAACGAAACAACGTCACGTGCAAGTCATTTATAGCGAGAGGAAAATAGGCCACACACTTGCATTCGGATGCAACCTAGTGCCTTGTGTAGACTTGTGTCCTCTTTGATGTAGCCCTGGAACTGCACTTCAACTATACTCCGTTTCCCCTTATGTTGTACCGCAGACAAGGCTAGAAGCGCGAGCTCATAGCGTTGGGAGCTACTCTTAACGCACGAGAGCTTGTGCCGCCTTGATGTGCCCTAGACCAAAGAGGTCGCGCTTGTAGCCTTTTCTGCGGTACATCATAAGGTGAAACAGAGTATAGGGTGGAGGTTTTTGCCGGCGTCTTCTCTCGTCATGAGCGATCACCAGAATGCACGAGGCGCTGCACAGCGCACGTGTTCGCAAACCAAACGCAAGTGTGTGTGAACCAGCCTTTGACAGGCTGTCAGTGTCCAGGGTTGTGTCTACCCACCTGCGATCCTGTTGAGAGCTCCCTTCCTGCCGAACATGTTGGACAGCTCCGGTTCCTTCCAGGTGGCGAAGTACTGCTTGAAGAGGGGTGGTTCGGCACCGCCGATCACTCTGCTCACCTGGCTCCAGTCCGGGTAGCCGCGGTACTTCAGGTATTTCTGCGCATCCAGCCACAGGATCGCTTGATGTAAGCATTGGAAACACCGCGAAAGCTGCGGCTGACTAACACTCCTCAGAGAGCAGAAGGCGGATGGAAAGTTACCTACTATAGTCGCGAACAAACACCTGCTTCTTTATTCATTTTTTGGCCTTCTTGTCAGATAATGCTGTAGTCGGTTTTTGTTGACTAAGGAGCGATGATAAGATGCTCGGAGCTTAGCACAAACAATGTTTCTTAACTTGTCCGTGAGATAACATTTTTGGCTAGCCGGGATTTAAGCTCCGGACTTCTTAATATGTGGTCGGGTGTGTGGTTTAGACCGGATATTGGGAAACCCGGAGCTCAAATCCCGGCTCCGTCAAAGATTTTTTTTTTTTTCGGCTGCTTAGAAAGAATTTGTTTCATTCGATCAAGTAGTATTCTTTCATCTTCATATTTTTGATTATACCCAAAAACAAAGGAAGAAAACCAAAACTTACAACTAATTAGAAAAAAAAATGCTCTGCATGCTGACGAAAAGGCTGATCGCAATTACACTCTAACAATAGGAAAGTATCAGCGTAAAATGGCACCTCGTCTGCTATATACTAAGACCGTACTTCTATTGAAGCATCATACGGACTGCCTTTTTGTAGCTTTACACTGGCCGAGGTCGAGCAGTTTCGCGTGGCTCCCAAAGAGCCGGTCTGCGCAAGCGCGAGGAGCAGTGACGTCACACGGCGCACAGCTGGCGCGCCGGAGACGCCGCCGCCGCGCGCTCCGCCGCCATCGCGCGCGCCTCGCCGGTCTGCGCATTCCAGAGGAGTGACGTCATAGCCGCGGTAGACGCACTGGCGCCGCCGCGTGCCCAGCTGTGCGCCTCCGTTGCGCAGTAGCCAAGTCTGACGCTGCACCGGAGCCGCTTGATGGCGCCTCTCATCTTGTGCGCATAAGCTCACGCTACGTATATCCTGGCGTAGCCGAGCTAAGCCACCCCAATTTTTGGTTATAAATAAACTGAAGGAGCTATCGATCAGCGGTTTGCCATGTTCATTACGGGGAGAACACACGCAAGAACACGTTTGAGATACAGAAGATTTACAAAAATCTGCCCTTTTAAGGCCGGACCATGTTGTTTACTGCAGGCCACAGTAGGAGAGACAGAAGAAGAAACGTAAACTTTCGTTATTCGTTCACATTAGCTGCCCTTGTGCAGATGTCGGGGATAAGAGCGATAACTGAATAAACTGGGAAATTAAAGAACGAAGCAGGCAGCTTTCATAGTTCTGGGTAAATGGGAACCACAAAGGCGCGCTCTTCCTAGTAGCGCTCTGAGGCAGCAGGAAAAAAAAGACATTCGGTAAACTTAACCAAGTAATTCAAACAAGACGTCTACAAGATGTGTTAAGAAACGTTCGCAGTCACCTGAGCGAGCATCATTGACTCCTTGCGTTCCTTGGGACTTGCTCCTTTGCCCACCCAGACGAAAAGACCCGAGACACCGCCGTCCAGAAGGAAGCAGTCCTGGTTGCAAAGGAGAAAGCAAACATTAATGAGAGTAGAAAAACGTGCAGACCAAGCGGCAGCCGTCGAGCGAACCTGGAATAATACTGTACGTAGTAATGCATGCAAACTGTTACATGTACGAAAGTTCTGGTAAATCAATGTTGTACTAATTTTGGACCTCAACTCCCAATTTGCAATAAGTCTATATTCTGTAAAAAAAAGTTACGTATTACAATTAAAAAAGAAAAGAACAAGTGCCACACGTCTTGAAATAAGAGCACCTTAATCAGGACAAGAAAAACAGATCTGCTTGGAAAGCCTAATTTTTCTGATTGTTGCATATACTATTTCTTAAAGGCCGGCGTACAACCTCGGTTTTCTGCAGGGAAGATAATCCTGTTAGCGCTCCCCTCTCCTAAGCTGCGAGGGGGAGCCAGGTTGGGGCAAGGTGAAACGTGGAGAGGATATAGGAAAGGAAATGGCGGACAAAAGTGGAAAGCGCGAAGTGTACGTCGGCCTTTTTTAAGGTAGGAAAAATACCCACGCGACTGCTTTTCCGCGATGCCTCCGGCGAAGTAAAATCCTCGCAATTTACTATGCGCGGAAAGCAAATGACAAGGCGCCCATGGTCGCTATTAACCAAAAACGCTATCTGCATAGTGATAATCAGCAAGCGTAACATCATGTTAACTTTTCCGGCACGCGGTCTTTTTCCAGCCAAATCGACTTTTGGACATCAACATACGTTGGAAGTATTGTCTGTAGGTTCCTGTAATTATCGGACCGCACGCCCTTAAGGAAAGTAGACGCCATGACAATTTTAGAAAGTAGAATGTGGCTAAATATATTTTTTGTTGGTATAAGTGTATGTTACCTACATTCCAAAAACCATAAGCCGCACTTTGTAATATTTCCGCGCGCGCAGCTGGCCAAGTAGGCAGTGTGCCCGTGGCCAACCGGTTATCGTGTTTGGCTCCCACGCAAAAGATCCGAGGTTCGATGTCTTGCCGGGGACACACTTTTTTGTTCTCTCTGTAAATGTCGCGTTCTGGCACATTCGAGAACCCTGTTGCTTCTTCGAGGTTAGAATGTCCTACGCGGCGAACCTTCCACGCCTATTGTTCCAGAAGCCCAAGCGTGTACATAAGGGGCTCCGCGTGGCGAGCCGGAGTCAGTCTCGCCACAGCGCTCGATGGTGCTGTTCCGCCGACATCGACACCTGCGACGTTAACCCTCTTCTATTTTTTGGGGGCAGAAGTTCGTCCCATTAAATGTTTAGTTTCTCAAGTTAATTCGTCGCCTCGTCATTTGTCAATCGTGACAATATGCACTCGCAGCAACACTTCACTCAAGACAAATCACACATACGTTTTAGAAATGGCATCGCTTTTAGATTATTATGCTTATATCACAAACTCCTGTTCACAAACAATTCCCCGTATTGGCCGTGTGTGGTGACCAATTCTGTGCAACGACGAAGCCAGTGTGCGCGTTATATGCACTCGCCAGACCAACAAACCATCTCCCTTTAATCACCTGACAACCGCTTTCTGCGCGTGAGAGAGAGCGGGAGCGTGATGGCGTAGCTAAGATTGACGCACGGTTGGTCCAACGAGCACCTAGCTTCCGCCGTACTGTCATCTCAGGGGTGAACGAAGTCTAGTAAAGAGTGTGCGCTGTATAGCTGCTGCTTACGTTGGGGTCCAGGAGAGTATGTGACAGGGGCTTCTCTCCAACCCTCTCCACTTTGAGTTCGCCATCAGCGTCAGAGATCCTGTGGTTAGAAACGGTGGTTAGCCAGATTCGTTACTGAGACAAGGAATGTGCCAAGAGTGATTTCAATTGAATAGCACGGTGCCGTCCCTAGCTTCAACACTGCTAAATAAAGCGGTTGTCGTGGCTCGCCCTTGCACTGTGAATGTTATGAATGACGGAGTGCTATTCGATTCGAACCACTCTTCGCACACCTGTGAGACTCATAATATACACAGATATCGGGTTGAAATATGCTGCGATACCTGAAGAGGTGCTTGAATGTTCCGACAAGAAATCCATGAATACTAACAAAGTATACACCGCAGTCGTGACAAAAGTTCAAGACTAAGACAAAATATACTTTAGTATCCGAACACATCATGCTCTAACGTAGGAGACGGAGTATGCTGCAGTTCCAAAGAAATTTATGATTTAAGGTTAGGAGCAGAAACCCTCGAAGACGGAGACATGGTGCACCCCGGCGCTGGAACAAAGTGTATGCTCCAATATTATGGCGAAGGGTACTTTAATAATGAAACAACGCTGCTGCAAATTTTGGGACAGAAGACACTTCCGTAATGAAACAATATGTGCCTCGAAATTGGGGACAAATTAAACATCAATAATAAAACAAACTGTGCCGAAATACTGGGAGCACGTGTGCCCGAATGAATAAGACTAGAAAATGCCTCAAGACTGGGAAAAAGTAAACTTGGCTGTCGGGACAAACACATTCTTCAATAATGAGACCACCGAATACGCTGCAATACCCGACTAACGTATGAACGAGGCACAGTGCATGCACTCGAGGACTTACTCAAAATTCACATCAATATCGCGACAGGACGGCGCGCGCACGCGGCGCAGAGAAACCCCGCGTGCGGCGCACCGACATCAGCGCCACCTCGGTGGCGTGGCGTCAAACCAGTCGTTTGTGATTGTGACTGTCACTGGCGCCAAGGTTCTGGCGTGCCCCCATCATTGAGAGCCACCCTTAACAATACCTGCATTAGCAGCTGTCCTACTGCTACCACATCGTACCAAAAAGACAAGCTGCAGACACTGTCTAAGGGATGTTTCTTCCTTGTGTGACGTAACATTGGTCATACAAAAAAACTCTCTGGAGACATGTGCGGAGCATACAGATGTATTATGCAGACATTCTGCCAAAATGCGTGAAGGCATGTTCGCGGAAAATTTTGTCATCATCTCTGCGGAGAAACTCTGTGTCTTTGGCAGGATGTACCAGCAGAGGGACTTTGGAGTGGCCAGAAGGCACGCGCTGGAAGACATGCTTCGAAGCTGCAGTGCGAGCTCCCGGTAGCGGTACCGCTCTTGGCGGTATAGCCTCCGGTGACGCTATGCTACAGCTTCCTCGTGGCCCTCATGGTTCGTTAGCGGATTGTCACAGGTCCGGTTCCGGCGTGGCGGAAACAATACCTGCATTCAGTATAACGCTATGCTAAAAAGCGTTCGGCTTCGGCGAATCTGTGTTATGTATATGCCGTACCTGTGAAGAGACACCTCCGTGTCAGCGGAGCGCTCGTGTTCCACGTCATCGCCGCCTTCTTCGGCGTCTTTGACGTCTGCCGGAGACCCGGCCCCGAGTTCCTCGAAGAATGCATTCACCTCCGCTTCGCAGCTGCTCTCGTCTAGAAAACATAAACATATAAGCACGCGCGCACACACGTTAGGGCATTAGGGCAGTTACAAGAAGGCGTGTAACACTTTTACTGTTGCGGGGTAACATGGGGCCGCAGCTGGTACACTGGGCGCAAGGACGCAGCAGAGGTGCCAATCTGCGTCCCGAAAGTGAATCTGCATATGGGTGCTTAATTTCACACTAAATTTTCCTTCCTGCTGAAGAACCCAGATATCAATCCTCATTCTTATTGGCCGCTCCTGCCCTTTTTGATCTGGATGAGCATTGTACCGGCGTACAGTCGTGTATCGCTACTGCGTGATGTAGGTGAAACCCCACAAACTATACTTTTATTATACATAGCAGTCCTACTGCACTATCTACAATAAACCCTTTCACAAATCCAGTCCCATCTAGTGGCTCAAATATCAGGCGGAGTGTGTGTAAGCTAATGGTGGCAATTGTCCTGCTTGTATGTTTAGGCAGCCTTGAAGTTGGTACGCCTTAACGGGTTATGCAGTGCAGCTACAGTGAGATACAACCGTGCACCGCACAGTAGTGATTACACGAACGCGTGCCGGTACGAAACTCGTCCAGATCTAAACGGGCGAGGGCTGGGGATCGAACCCAGGAGGTTCTGCAGCGCAAGCTTTCGCTCCACGCTAACCCCCCATTCACACTGGAAGCGGATCCGCGTTCGCGAAGCGGTTGCGAACGCGGTTGTATAAAGATCCAGTGCAATTGCACGCGCATTTGATGTCATCGTGTGCGCGTGCAATTGTACTGAATCCTTATACAACCGCGTTCGCAACCGCTTTGCGAACGCGGATCCGCTTCCAGTGTGAATGAGCCCTAAGACGCGTTTGCGTTTGAGAGCGTATGAGTGCGTTTCACTGCGTTGCGTCAAGAAACGAAAGCGAGTCACCGGCACATCTGTGTTTCGTATGAAGCATGGAATCCAATTCAAGGAATAGTTTGGCACGCGACATAAGAATCAGGGATGTCCTGCTTTCTCGCAGCCGCAACGAAGTCAAACGCACTCAAACGCTACTGTCCGTGGGGGGCTCTAGCCCACTCGTCCACGGATCCACTCTGGTAACGGTGGTTAAAATCTAGCACATATTAGCCACGGGCAGATGTATGAAAGTTACGGTGTTCTTCGATATACAGCTATTTCTCTATTTGTTTTAATTTCGATGGTGTTAAGAAACTATAGTCGAGTAAAACTCTTGATAAAATTCTCTTCATATTTCCTTCATGAGCGCTCTAAGGCGTGCCGAAGTTTAAGATTCCAAATATTTCCATGACATTTTCAAAAGCGTAGCCTTATAAGACTCGTCATGGTGACATCGCACAACTATACAGCGCACTATAACGTCTAGAATGTTCAGGCTCCGCATTGGTGCCCGTCTTCAAATTCTTGCTTCACCAGCTATCAAAAGCTGCCATTGGCATGCAGAAACAGAGCCTCCTATTTAAGTTTCACTATGCCTGTCAGCGCAGCTCGCCCCTCGCAAAACTCCCGCCACTTTTTCACGAAGTATCGAATCCTAATGCCCCTCATGTGTTTACATTCGCCTCGGAAGTAGCGTCAAATGCGCCAGTGCACAAGGCCCGTGCCTCGAGCGGCCCTTGGAAGCAGATGACGGCCCAGCACTGAAATGAGCTGCCCTTGGAAGAGAATGGCGGAGGAGCACCCGCTCTTGGCACGTGTCTTGCGCGTTTTCACAACAGTCGTTGGCGGTACTTGAAAGCGTGAATCTTATCGAGGGATTTTACCCAATCCCGCCTCTCACCGCCCTGAACGGCCACTGAAAAAGAAACAAAGTAAAAGTGACTTGTGACCTTGAGCGCGCGAAATTCCAATAGCTCAGACAGCGCCTTGCTCAGTTAGAACACGCATGCTCGATCGTCGTGCTTAGCGGTGTCCCGGCGATCCGCCGTTCACATCGCCAAGCCGTATTTTTACCCAGCCGCGGTAAGTAATTCGTAGGTGACTGACGGATTAATAAATACGCTCGCCCTGCCCTTACGGGCTCCCTGCAGTCCTAGTCACCGCATCATTCGACCTTCCAGAAAAGGCAACGAAGATTTTGGCTAAGCTGTTCCATCATACTGTACGAAGAATGCAGGGGTGCTATGTTGCGCTTTTTGGACTCCCAGGAGACTAGGGAGAGGGAAGTGACGTCAACGACACAGCAAGCGCAGATTGGGTGTTGACTTTGTTCTCTTCTGTCAACATCCAATCTGCGTTTGCTCTAGTCGTTGACGTCACTTCCCTCTTCCAAGTCTCCTGGGAGTCCAAAAAGCGCAACATAGCACCATGGTCCTCCAGTTATCTTATACGGCACACATAGGTGGCTACATCACCCGTGTTGTAAACGAACTCTTGGCATGCCTCTCCTGCTCATGTAATATGGCGAAATCGAAGACCAATAGCCATTTGCATGGTACAAATTTTGAAAGGCGCTTCAGTTCGGCGTTATCTTTGCATTATGACACGTCAGAGCCTCCGTTGCTCTGAAGTTGGAAGAGGAAAACGCCGTTTAATGCACGATTGTCTTAAAATACCCCTCAGACGAACGAATTAATCTGCTCAACATTGACAAAATATTTGCGGCAGATGCGTTGAGCTAGAGACCTTCCACGGTGTGGTCTCTAATAAGTGCAGAGACAATCAATTTACGCTTCGTTTTGGCATACGCATTTCGCAGCTAGGATAACTGTGTTGCAGACATTCTTCCTTCCTCTCTGCGGCATATAACAACCAGACGACAGACACTGGCGAAAGGTTAATATCTTGCCCGTTGCGCCCCCCCCCCCCCCCCCCCCCCCCCAAACGCCAGTCAATGCAGTGGCACGATTGCGTTTTAACTATATGGGCTTGATGTATTATGTCTGGTCTAGTGCGTGTTCTACAAACGTGCCGTCAACTGCTTTCTTGTTATTTTAAAAATAAACAGTTTCCATTCCTGATTCAAAGGCTCAGGATTCTAGGCTCAGGTCATTTTTTTTTTTCACTCGTGTTTTATTTCGTCTAAAACTAATTTGCTGCCGGTTGCTTCTTTCTATTATTGATCTGTACAGGGCAATAATCTCAGGTGCCTCGTAAGCCAATAGAAGCCCGCAAGACTAACGCGAGCGACTGCCAAGTGCTACTCGCTTCGCCGGGACGATAACCCATTCCCTGGCGTGCATGCTCCCTGCGAAGCAAAAGGTCGTCTTCACCGCAGACAATGACTCTGCTTTGCGCCACCAGCCGTGAGCCACGCACACTTTTTTCCGGCTGCCCCAAGCTCGTTGGGATGCCCTGAAATTGCGCGCGCTCTGCGTTGACAGGCATTGTGAAACTTATATAGAGGGCTCTGGTACAGGATGTATACACTTAGATGATGATAGTTATCGGAGTAGCTAGACTGAATTTCAGAAAGGGTCTCTCATTATCTACAGCGTAAACCAGTGTTGCCATACCTCAAGACCAGACAGACCACAAGAAACCGTACACTCTAAAAATAATCCGTTATTGAAAGTTTCTTCGACACCCCAAAAACTCTTTCAGCTCCTTTAATAACTAAATAAACTTGCTCTAGTTTTAGAGCGCAGCTCTTAGGCGCCCGTTTCCGGCTTGAGCGGCGTCGGCGTCGCCGTCGGCGTCACCGCGCGGTACATTATGAGACATTTCCCATGATGCAGCGCGCGGGGAGCAGGAGGAGGGGAGGAGGACGAGAGGGAGAGTACGAGGAGGGGAGGGGAGGGGGAGGAGGAGGGAGGAGGAGAAGGAAAAGGAGAAGGTAAGAGGGGACGATGAGGTATGAGGAGAAGGAGATGAGAAAGGGGGAGGAGGGAGGACGATGACAGGAGGGGAGGAGCTTGCAGGATGAGGGGAGGAGGGGGAAAAGAAGGAGGTAAGAGGGGGCGATGAGGGATGAGGAGAAGGAGAGGAGAGAGGGGAGGAGGGAGGAGGATGAGCGGAGGGGAGGAGGAGGTGAAGAAGGAGGAGGAGGGGAGGAGGAGGAGGACGAGGAGGAGGAAGCGTATGGAGGAGCAGGAAGAAGAGGATGGAGGAGGAGTAGCAGGGAGGATGAGGAGGGGAGGAGGAGGGAGGAGGAGTATACCCTCTCCTCAGTACCCTTCCCTCCTCCTCCTCAAGAGCTGCGCTCTAATTCGGCGTTACAGGGAGTTGTAAACGTCTTTCATTTTCTCTTTCTAGGAAATGGAAGTCGCCAAAAATATTCGATAAATATGAATATCGTTCATGCCCTCAACTCGGTGCCAAAGAAGCGGCCACGTGGCCTTGTGCCTATCCTATGCCGCAACGTTAATCATAGCCACGCGCTGGGGTTTGCAAAGTAGAAAACACGTGCTGAGCTCCAGGCATTGTTAGAGTTCGGATATTTTCATCGTCGCAGTGGTTGGACAGGAGCCACTACATGAGTGTCCGCCGAGGCATGGATTGTTACGAGCCGAAGTCGAGTGCTCACGCAGTTCTCGTCTCCAATCAATGAGCCGCGCTCGACTGCCGTCAGGCGAGTGGTTTAGATCCCGCAATCACGTCATCAAGCTTTGCGAAGGGAAGACTGAAATAAATAACCTCCTTTTATCCTCGCAATTTCACCGCGAGAAAGAAGCAAAGAAGTGGCGGATTGCGTGAGTATACTTGGGCCAGCCTATAGGAACAGTACGCCTCTGCAAATTCATGAACATTTCAACCCAATATCGCTTCATAACCCCTTTAAAAGAATTTTTTTCTATGAAGAACTCTTGTAAGGGGTGCTTATAAGAACTTTTTAGGGTGCAAAATATTGACAAACCAACACATCCCTAAGAATTCTTTTATGACCAGATTTGTTTCAGAGAGTTGGCTTTCGTTTGCTTTTTTTATTTCCGTGATTTCATACGCTATGGCTTTGTTCATGTAGACACATGCATAAAAGGTGGGTCAGATATTTGTGTATAATTATGACCGACTGCATTTTCACTTTTTACGTTCCACCATGACGCGTTTTACGG